TAGTAACTAATAATAGAATTACCGGGCACTAAAACAAAGCAAATAGGCGGATAAATACAAAAGTAATGTCCAATGCTTCCCCGAATATGCAGCAGAAATTGGAGGCTAATTGCCCCTTCCGAAAAGACGAAACTGGTTGTAGTCACATCTACTATTATTTAATGTCATCTAAGTTCATTCTGTTAAAGGGTTTATATGTTATTCACACAAGATCAAGTAGATAGATTTACCAAGAAACTATGTACGGCTGGAGTGGTTGGAGGGGTACGAACCATCCATATACTAACCTTACTTTGACGCCAAATTTGCTCCCTAGAAGTGTTACTCCACGAGACTCTGATTTGGCCCTTTTGTAACGAATTAACATCATCTGTATCATCATTGGAAGCCTCATAGGAGTCCAACACAACCCCAAATATGATTTTCTTGCTCTTATCAAATCTATACACGATATCGTTGGCATAAAATTCTTTTACCTTCTCCTGTGACATCTTTACACACTGATTTCGCCACAAGATCACATTCAATCACTCAAATTTTGAAGGGCATTACAAAAAAGGGTCGTTTGATGTTGTTTTTTCAGCGCATGACATTAATGTAAATAAAAAAAATTGCCAAAGAAATTTAACAGCTGATTGTCAATTCGATTGTCAACATGGAATTTGGCCGGCGTTGTCGATGTCTGTTATTTATATGAATTGTCACTCCAATGATTGCTTTTCGCTCAGTTCATTTGTGAGGGAAAATTTGTTTTTCTAAGAAATTCTCAGCATTAGGACAGTTTGCTTAAGTTAACTTGCAATTGCAGCACGTTATGGATTAACTTTTTGATTTAAAGCTATTTTTAAGACTTCTGCAATCTCCTGCTTTACTTGAGAGCACAATATAGTCGTGCTTGTGTGTGATTAACATTTGTCCAATAAACCATTTTGACGCCAAAAACTTATTGCTAGAGCCTCTTTTTATTGAGTGAAAATTCAGTTTTCTGTTTTTTGTAACTTTGCAAAATGGTCGAATCTGACAACGGTGCAGTGAAATTTGATATGGTAATGAAGTTGGCAGTGAGTACTAGGCCTATAACATTAAAATTTTGAAAAATACGCTTATAGAAAATAATTTTTTCTGCAAGTAAATTGGACACAATTCACCACAATTATTCATTTAAGCATTATCGAACTCATTATTTGAAAATATTGTCTTGATTGTCACTGTCAGCAATGACAATTTGACGCAAATTAACATTTGCATTGAATAATTCAAGCTCCGACATGCTTCGCGTTTAAAATCGGCAAAGATTTGCAGTCAAGAAAAAGACAACGCAAAGCGGCGAGTGCGAAATTGATGAAATCTCCGAATAGTTCCAGATAGTTCTTCCAAAGAATTCCTGCGATTTTTTTGGCAAAATAGTGTATAATCTACGGTTAATTAACATTTAATCGTTTTCGTTTTTTTATGTTAGCACCTTGTAAGTGAAATCTCAGTGTTGCACGTTCAAAATGCCTTTCAGTCGTAGCGGTTTTGTAAGTAGACGTTTTTACATATTTAAATGGCCCTTCCACAGGGCTGTTGTTAATACATCCACTTTCTCACTAACTGCTTGGATTTTCTTTTTGTTTTGGTGTTGTTTGCATTTGCTTTATTCATCGGAAATGGACCAAAATTATGGGGCACTTGGGTGGGAATTTTTAGGTTATAAATAGAACAGATTGGCCCGATATTAGTCAATGTTTTCTTTAAAATGTCTCGTTAAAAATCCTGAGCAATTTTCAAACATTATGCTTTCTAGCAACGGACTTTTCAATGCTCACTATTGAAGACCTTTTCGTCACACAAATACGCGCAAGATTTCAAAATAATCCATTTTACATTCACATTTCAATGTTCCAGTTCAACTTTCAGGCTTAGGTGCTCCTGCCTGGGCAATCTTTTTTAGCAAATTTACTTTCGAGCATTAGGGCACATCAAACTATACTGATTGATATAAAAGTTTTGTTTTCTTGTTAGTTTCCCTAAACACACTTTTCAGTGAATTCATAAGATGATAGAATCTGGAAATGTTGCTGCTAATACAAAATATCCCATTTTCATCTCTCGACTTCAACTCATATGGAAAGTTGCCCAACGTCCAACAACCATTAAGTTGAATCTAACGATACACATAAGTATCTCTGTTTGGTATCTGTTTAACAAAAGCACTATGAAAATGAAAGTGTTCACTTCAATCATGCCTTCACTCTAAGCACAGAACAGAATTTAAAGTGCTTTTATTGATAGGAATAATAGAATTATATCAAGTAAATCCCTCAATTAACATTTGGGCACCAAGCCAAATGAAAGGCAGCCTAGTATCTATTAAAATATCCTCATGGACTTTTACATTAGCGAAGTTTCATGATAATCTTTTCGCAGTTCTTTGAGAACTAATTGCCTCTATCTCCCAATTACTTGTCTGTTTTTTTTAATGTTTCCTAACTGTCTTAACGACTAAATTCAATTCCAGAGAAGTTTGATTGATGGCTATTCATTCATATTTTGATGTACTGCTTAAAAATTGATATGCAAAAATGTAATGCAATTCACAGAAACCATGATCTGGTCACATCTTTCGACCTCTAATAAACGCGTTTAAATTACGAATTGATTTTAGTCCAAGTAATCAATCCTTTAACTTAGAAAACACTCTAATGTAGTCGTTGTTCTGGTGTGAAGTGTGCTTTGTTTTGGTTTGCAGGATCTCTCTAACCACTCCGTCGCTTAGCCTATCTGCAAAGCTACAGTGCTAGTGAGTATAATTTTACAATAGGGGTAAAACCTTTATAAACATCTACAGCTTTCAGTTTCTCCTAAGTTTTCCCTTTATTTTCAAACCGTCTATGTATCATCAATTTACTCATTTATTTGTACTTATGGACTTTGTTTATTCAACCTTTATCTGTCTCACTTCATTTGCACTGGGTTTGCTTAATCCTAACGCTTCAACATTTACTCAGTTTTCACTACTAATCATAATATAACTTTAGATAAGATTACACACTGTTTTCCGATATCTGCTATTGTTCTTATTAAAACAAGTGACAGGTTCATGCAACAGCAGTAATTTTTCTTAATACCTAGTTAATTAGCACATACATAAATACCGGTTTTGAACGCATGCTATGCTGATCAAATAAGAGACTGGTCGGTCGTAAATAAAAACATTAAATCACCTTTATTTTTATAAGGTTTTTTGGTAAAATTAATGAAAGGATTATCGTAGCACGTCGCCGGATGACTCAACATGAAATACAGTGTTTTCTTAAGAACATTGAAACCATATCAATTTATTACAATGCAACAAGAGTAGATTTGCTTCATCAGGTTCACTCCGCATTAAGTCGCCAAACATTTCGGCATAAACTTTGTAACAAGCAACAATATTGCAACACATCATAATTTCCCGAAATACCTCAAAAGTCTTTTTTCTTGGCAAGCTTTTGCCGTATTTTTGAGAAATTTCATCGCCCAAATTTTAGTAAAATCAGCATATAAACCGAGATGACACATCGACCGTTTATTTTTAGCTACTCCAAATCCACTTATTTTTGGGAATTAAAGTTCCGATTTTGCTTTGTCACTCAACCAATAAAAAACAATAATAGTTGTTATTGACTGAAAAAAATGTAGTTGCCTGAAACATGATTTAATGCTTTCAATCAATCGACGAAGAAAGAACTTGCAAGTTGAAGAGTGGAATTGAATTCAAGAAAGTTTCAACTATTAAACAATTCAATTTTCACTTCAAGCTTTCGCATTTTTGCCTAGCGTTTTAAAGTGACGATTTAATACGGACTTAGTGGGTGCGGTAAGAAGTATTTTTAGTAGGCAAATATTTAGCGAATGATATCTGCTAACAAACGTTGCAACAGATTGATCATCTATAATAGTTACCGGGCTACAGTTTGGTTACAGTTTGTTGTAATTCTTAAATGTGTTATTTGAGTGCAATGATTTGTAAACAATAGCTAGTAATTACGGATAAAGTTTGAGTTAGTGTTATCAAAAATAAGTTGAGGATGCAAAGTGCATTGAGAGGGAAAATGATTGTACAATTAAAAGAAAAAAATGGTTCGTTAGAATCTTTGATTCACTTTTTATTTACTGGCTCATTTGGAAGAAAATCAAAGTATGATGAAAATCAAAATTTCTCGAATTCCTGAAACAAAACCAACTGCACTTTCTAATGACCACTTCAAGTCAGTTTCAAGATCAAGATTGGATCAAGATGATTCAGATCAAGATTGATCCAAGAAGAACCATTGTTTTGATAACCATTAACTGAAAACTACAACAGTAGTTGCAAGCCTAAAACCAAGTTTGAAACCTAAATTTTAAGATTAGGTCCAATTTATTCCACAAGACTACGGTTTATACAAGACGTCCCCAAATAAATGCAACAAAGGTTGATCACATATTCTTGAAAAAGAAAACTGCTATGATATTTTTAAATTAGATTTAGTTAGATTTTTAGCTAGTTCTTCTTACAAAATTGTAAAATGTATTCCTAAGAACATCTACCTACGATTAACTTGTACAACTTTATGGAAATTGAATATGTGAATAATCACATTTTACAACTTTTCTTGAAAACGTCTGAATAAAAAATGAGCAAAGAAAACACTATTTTATAACGAGAATATACATTTTATATGTTAAGTGGTGAAAATCACGTCAAAAGTCACTTTGATACAAATTTTCTTTACTTACTTATTTGAAAAAAAAATTGAATTTCTTGACTTTCAATGGTGAAAGCTGGAACAAAGCCGACTACACTTTCTTATAGCAAGCAACTTTAAGGCAGTTTTATCATTGCAGTTTTAATTTGAAAATAATTCGGCCATTTGTTTGTTTGTTGCAATTTACTAAATTGTGAACACGGCCCTGCGCTTGTACATTATTTCTTTGTTTATTTTCCGTTTCATTTAAATGACAAAATCTGTTTTCCAAAAAAATGGGTTTCGCCTAAAACGCTTACGATTGGAAAATGTAGATAAAGTAACCAAATGAATACTCTTAGGGGTAGAATTCAGAATGTTGTTACTTGTTTTTCTTAGGTGAACGTTTCAGTTATATTTAAGCCATCACCAGGGCTCATCAGGAAAGGGATTGATAATCTGACTCAAAGATAAATTTAGTACTTGAATTTCATAGGTACAGTTTATATACATATATGTAAAGTCCAAGAACAACAGTGTTTTTTAGCAAACCATTGCGCGAAAATCTCATCAGATGAGCTTTTTGAATATTAAGTAATATTTTACTTTGAGAATTACATGTACATATAACATTGTTAAGTTCGAGTTAATTTATTTGCTACATTTTTTCCCAATCAGAGCGAAATAAACGATATAACGCATTTCCTACAGCATATGTTGCTTCAGTTTCTTCAGCAAATGTTAAGTAGGTATATTTAATCCTAATGCAACAAGGACATTTTCAGATTGATACAGAAATTGATTTTATTATGTTCTTCGTGGTTTACTTGGGTCAGCTGGACGAAGAAAATATATTTCAAAACTACATATTATGGTTAAAATTTGCATGTTATGACCTTCAACCAGCTATACATTATTCGATTTAATTAGAATTTGACTAAACACGTTTGCCTATCAACCGTGGGAATTAGCCTTATTTGGTAACATCTAATGGGTGACAACTCAGCAGAATACATTTTAGAATTTTCGTTTTCTTACCGCATCTAGTCAAGGACATTTTTTATTTAAATGCTAGAAATGCATTCTGAAAGTAATTCCGAAACTGAATATTTTGCAACCATATGCTTTCGATTGCATCTCCAGCAGACTAAACACATCTTGCAGTCTCTTCACTTATTGCTGTGTGAAGTTTACATGTGGATAATTAAAATGTAAATGTTTTCTTATCAAAAGGGTTTTGTTCATTATTTCTAGCACAATGTGGAAATATAACCGAAACTATAATTAATGATTGGTGACTTATAGAAGCAATTCAAATGGGGTATAACAAAACGTTGATATAAATCAACCTGCCGACCATGCCACCAGTCAGTGGTTTCTCCAAATACGGTAGTGGCGACGCTTGCAATAAGGTTGTCTGCATGGAGGTGTGTTTAGTCGGTCCACTTTAATTATACACAATTATTTAGCCCATATTAAAATATCAGGATAAAATTGCAATTTATTTTTCTTACTTCAATAATTGCAATGTCTTCACTTCAATGCCGAATTTAATGGCTTCCTGAAAATGTATTTTGATCTGTTTTCTTCGAAAAGAACCGATTGGTATCGTTCAATTTCTTCTATAGTATGCGCGGTTTTTCTGAATCATCTAAGTAGTACATTTTAATTAAAACACCATATATATGTGCCGATTAAACAAGGTTAGTCAGTTTATTTCTACAGCACACCAATGAATGGAGAATCTTATTTTTAGATGCACATGTTGATCAGATAACAATAAAAAATATAAATATGTTTGTACAACATTTTCGTTAAACAATAATGTTTTGTCATAAACTGTAGTACGTCTATAAACTGGCTCACCCAATATAACAATCGTCTTGATATTTGGTTGAAGATATTAATAGGCAATATTTAAGGAAAAAGTTATCGTGTTGTGTTTACATTTTAAAGTACAATTTTCTTTGTTGAAGTTTAATATTTTAGTTTTTTTTATTAATGTTATAATTTATAGTTTAAGATGGTTTAAAGCAAGAAAATACTTATAAGGTAACTAAGATTAATTTCTTTCATTAAACAATGTAAAAACCAATCTAACCAAAAACAGATGCGAGAATAAATCATCGTCAGATCTCTTAAGCGGAAGACTTAATCGACTTCAAATGGATAAATAGAAAACAAAACTAGTAGGTGGATGGTGGATTCGGTAGGTGGTTGTTGACAACTTTCTAAGGCTGTTTCAGAGCGATTTAAAACGTTTTCATAACGTCTTCAAACGTAATCTCTTGCTAAGGGATTTTAAAATGCAAACTCGGAAACGCAGAAAGTGACGAAAGCATATAAAATTTGATTAATGTTTAAATTTGGTTTAAGTTCCATCTAATCAAGTCAATATGAATCTGAGGAAATTTAAAGCATGTCCTTACAGGGAGAAATTTGAAGGACAGTTGAAGGCCAGTATAGTTAAAATATGCTGTTTTCAAAATAATTTTTGAGTTACTTTCTAAAAATAAGAACGCTGCATTAAATCGCCTTGTGGAAAAATCGAATAAAAAATTTGTTTTATTAGGTACTTACCAATCTCTTACTCCTTCGAGGAGACATGGGCTTGGAATTACCTGCAAACTTTAACTCTTAAAATCTGATCCATAAATAAAATAACTATCCAACCCTCAGGTGTTACTATATATGTAGTACTGTATAATAGAATATTACAAAATTTGACTGAATACCTCCGATCTGCACAACCGCACCCAATATATGCAAAAAATGGCTTGGACCACAGCGTGAAAAGTGTGGGTTAAAATGGCACACCGACCGCTAAAACTATTGACCATTTCTGATATACCTACGAACATTTTCTTAGAAAGTATGTGGGCATTAAGCAATGATTTTGCCAAACTTGTTTTGAGTACATCACGCCTTATTTGTAAGGGTTGCAGTGATTTAAAATGTAACTTGTTTATGCGATAGTTGCAAAAGTCGCAAAAATCTCTAAACTCTTCATAGTGGTAAATTTTGCAGTCTATTATAGTTAGTCTTATTAATATTTTTGGTGCCATTTAATGTTGCAGCTTCTAAACAAGTTTGTATGTACAAATATCTTGACAAACAATTGAATCAATAATCACCTTAAAAAAAATTCCAAATAGAATGACAACATTTTGCTTTATGAGTGGAGAACTTCTTCATAGACTGCGTGTGGATGACCAATGGTATAATGTATTTTTAATATGGATTACTATTAAAATAAAAAAACGCGTTTTATATTAGTACCTAGAAAAAGCTGAGTTTTTAAATTATCGACTGTTGAAAAATTGCCACGTTAAATAAACACATTGAGTAAACAGCGATCGTAAATGTGTTTTTTTGCTTTCGAACGAAAAAAGATCGGATATTCCTCTGCCTTATAAAGATGGTTTATTCGAGAAAATCCTCGAATGCCCGCCTATGGAACATGTTTTCAACTTCGTGTAACGCGTTACGTTTCGGTGTGTTTTATATATATCCATTATTGTCGGTTCCTTACAGCTACAATAGTCGCTCTTTTTCTAAATTCAGCTCAAACCTAGAACGTTTCTCGTAGCATTCGCGATAAGCATCGATTCTCCCAGAAGCTTCCAAGCGTAGGCAGTGGAAGTATAAAACATCGACTAGCTAATGGCCCACGTTCAGAACTGATGAAGTAAAACAACAAGCTGTGATTCGTTTGAAGGCGCGATTTTTGAAATTTTTAAAAGTGAATTTTTTCATTTGGTTTTGCGAGTTTAAGTTTAATTTTTGTGTGAAATTATGTCGGTTGAGACATTAAGAAGGGACATACCGGTGGTAGTGGATCCTAGCAAAGGCTGCAAGAACGATTTTGAGCCCATGGATTTTAATGAATACCATTGTGTAAGTAATTAAATTTTACCAAAATAATTTTTTATTTTCATCGAATTTTTTAATTTTGTTTCTACTTCAAGTTTAAATTTTATTTTGTTTTGCCATATTAACTAGAAGCTATACCGAACCTAAAGTGTTAAAACATAGTTATATATTACGCCAAGGAAAGTTTCAAATTATTAAATATATATAATTGTTCACCAAATCAATTAGGAGGAAAACGCTGTTTTAGCGTAAATATATAAGTTTTATAAAAATTACTAAAAATATAGAATGTATTGACTGCTTGAGTGATTGAAAAGCGTAATTGTTTGAGAACGACTCAAATCGAAGGAACAACGGCGATGACGATCTCGCCTGAAAAATGGTTGCTTTGCTGCAAAAGCATGACGATAAAGCTATGTATTTTCAAGCAAATAGTCTCATATTTGCTAAACAATATTTATGTCATAATCCGTAAGATATTTCTGCTCTTCGAATGTGCATACTATTTCAAAATTCAAACTATTACCCGCGAGCATCATATCTAGCAGCATAATCTATCTATACCAGATAAGATACAACCTAATGTGTGTTTTCAACTTTTTGTTTCGCATAAATAAGACTAATTATTTTTTCAGTGTGTTTTTTTATTAGGCGATTCACGTATTCCAGTCCATTCAAATGTTTAAATAATTTGTTATTATTTTAGACTGGTTTCCCGTTCGACAGTTCTAGCCGTCGCACACGAGACCCTCTCGAAGACATTGCCCAACGGCACCCTGAATTTGCCCAGCATCTACAAGGTTTTCCCAGAAGATCGAATAGAGCGGGTGGTGACCCAGATCAGGACGAATTTTTACGGAGAAGATTCGAACGACCATTTTCTAGTGGCAGATTTGAGCGATTCGGATTTCCTTTCGATCGGTAGTTATTTCCCATCCTACCATCATGTGGTATACTTATAGTGTGTTGTAACTTGCAGGGACGATTTTGAAAGGGAGCCACAACGATACTACGAAGCATATCCCGAGTATTTTGAGAATTTCCAAAACCAACAGCCTCATACACCCCCACATAATCAGGCACAATCGGCACCTCAGCAACAGAGCGCTACGCAAACCTCTCCGTCCACTTACCAACAATACCCCCCTCAATATAGCCAACAGTACCAGCCTCATTTCAATCAGCAGCAACAGGATAATCAACATCCGGTATACCAAACTCAACCCAGTCAGTCGGTGAGTCAAGGAACTCAAACTGAAGAGTCTGAATCTCCAGAAGAACCCCAAGAACAGACAGCAGATACGCCCCAGGAGCATAAATCTGAAGCTGGACAAACAAGAGGTAATATTGTGACTGTTTGTTTTTTTCGGAGTGGGATCTGAAATAGCGTTTGTCATTAGGACGTCCAATTCAGCAAAGTAACACCTGTGATCTCGCACAGCATCAACCTCCCGACGAAGCCCTGAATGAGCGCGGACAGCGGTCTATGTCTGCACCCCCAGAAAACAAGCGTTTTACGTCCTCGGTAAACATCCCCATGGGTATGAACCAAGAAAACAATGGGCCTCCATCTGGAGGGGCTAAAAGCCAGGCGGGAAGCGGTAGCACTGAGAGGGTGATTCCTATACATGTTGAAGGACGCGATGTTCCAGTTTTGCCCAAGACCTTCGCCGGATCAACTGCATCCGCACCACAGTCGCACCATCAGCAACAGCCTCAACCAGAGCGTGTTTTCAACGACAGTCCCAGATCTCCCGAGACTATATTCGGACGACGACCAGAAGCGTTTACTCAGTTTGTGCACAGGGAGCCTCATAGGTTTGCCAACGACTGGCCGCACTCTTTTGGAGGTTTCCCTGAAGAAGAATTCGGATTCAGACGAAGTGAAAGCCCTAGCAGATTTGCCGGCGCTAGGCCACAGGCTCCTCAGCAATCGCATCAACAGCACCCGACGACACAGCAACAACAGCAGCAACCGCCGAAGCAAGAGCCAGCTCCACAAGTGCCTAAACCCCAAGAGCCGCGGCCTGCTGAGGCGCCTCCAGCGCCTAAACCACAGCCTCAGAAGCAACCTCAAACTCCCATCGAACAGATCCAAGCCATCCAAAAAGACGTAGCTACTCTTTTGAGGCAGGTTGAGGCATTTAATGGAGCACCAAGAGACAAAAACTACCTTTACTTAGATGAGATGTTGACTAGAAACTTGCTGAAATTAGACAATGTAGAAACTCAAGGCCAGGACACCATAAGAAGTGCCAGGAAAGAAGCAATTAAAAGCATAGAGAGGACCATAAGTCTTCTGGAGGCTAAAGCAGCAGCTAATGTGGCACCTAAAGAAGAAAAAATGGAGGTGGAACCAGCTCCAGAAGAAGAAAAAGTGGATGCAGATGGGAGTACTCAAGAAGTTAATGCCATGGAAATGTCTTCACCGCCTGCACAAATCGAACCTATGGAAGTGGCTGCAGCGTCAGAGGAAGCTGAGCCAAAAAGTGCCGAAGCAGCCGATGATTCCAAAAGTGCGAATGACAATGTGGCAAAAGCTGAAGAAGTTGTTGAAGAAAAGGAAGTGAGTGAAGAACCTCAAAAGGCTGCTGATGCCGAACCTCAGTCCAACGCCGAGCCATTAAAGGTCACTGAAGAGCCTAAGGAATCAAATGAGGCCCAATCAAAACCTGAAGTAAAAGATGGCGAGAAGAAAGAAAAAAAGAAAATAAAAAAGAAGGTGAACAAAGAGGATAAAGAAAAGAAGCAGTCTTAGGGTAAGCCAATTTTAAACTTGAAAAATGTTATTTAGGCAAAAATTTCAGGGTTCTAGTAGGCAAATTGCACAAGCCAGTCAAAATTGGCAAGTTTATTCACGATTTGAAAGTTGATTTCCAATCAATGCCTAGTTTGTGCAAACTATTTTTTTAATGCTGGAACTCCTTAGAATTTACTCAGCAGTTTAGCATTGAGTATCTCGCTTTTCGACAGAGTATTACTGATCTAGAATAAATGTTTATTTTTGAGATTTTTCACTTAACAGCTTCTATTCTATGAGCACTTAATTGAATATTATAAACTATATCCCCGGTTGAACTGTGCGAACGGGTCATGTTTATGAGAGACTGACTTTAGCTTGACCGTTAGAGTTAGATAGATAAATAATAACATAAACTTGAAGTATTTATCTTTTATTAAAAAATAAGTAGTTGTTTTCTTTTGTAAATATTGTTATTCTTGCTTGTGAGTTCTACTTTATTAAAATCAACAACAGTCATATTTGTATAGTTAAAATTCATCATTCTAAGTGAATCCTAAGGTGACTGTGATTTAATTTGTTGTGTTTAGCTCTTGTATTTCCATCTTCCGAGTGAGGTCTTTGCCTGATGTGTAGTTTTTTCCAAAGTGCCATTATGTTCTTTATGATATCTTTTTCAGAATTTAGAATTATATTGATACTTTTTTATTTATTTGCCACTTCTTTTGTTTTTATTTGTCAATAATAATTACCTACTCACTTGTGTCCTTTTGTCTGTTTAGTTGATATGTCTGTTGATTTTTGTACAATGTTTTTGATTGTGCAAAACTTTGTGTACAAAATAAATACATAGATTAAATAATGTGTTTTTATTCCTTGAAAATATGCAACTTACAATACTTAAATGTCTCATACTTACAGTTAAAAGTGCTGAAAAATAAAATTATTTCTTAATTATTTGGGAAAGATGGAAAGGAAATAAACAAAAATACAATAATTCTCATAATAAAATTAAACTTATGATGAGGTATGCTTAGCTGAATATTAACAAAATAATAATTACGCTCACAGTTTTTGTCACAAAAAAAAACGTTACTTGAAAAATATCAATTAATTCAACAATATTATTAAGTAGTAACAATTGTCCGTGAAGTTTACTTCTCTGATTACTTTCTAAGTACGAGGTGAATTTTAAAAATGCTCAATTGTATCCATAGATGCGATGCACATTTTGCATATGGGTATGAAAGTCGTATCTGGACATTTCAGTGAAGCATATTGCACAATTCACTGAAGACATACCACTAGTGGAACTTGTATATTTCGGTCCATCAGTCTTTTCCAGATAGGTGATTATAGAACTGATGCATCTTTCATATGAAATACTCGGCATTGTGTATTGCTTTCTGTTATAGTCCTAAAAAAAATGCCTTGGAAATTAGCAATTTTTGTTGTGCGAAACTCAGATTAAATGCTTGAATGTTAACATTAATACACAACATAGGAACTGTTCAGAAAATTGAACAGATCGTTTAGTGAGTTGTGGAAGAGTAAAAATAATTGAATGTCTATTGTCTCCCAATTTTCCGAATCATTCATTTTAATAATTAATTTTTAATATAGAGCTTGCAGTTAAAAAAATAATTTTGATTCCGCCTAGTTGTAAGCTTCAACATTAAAACATTTGGAAAGCGCATTTCTTGATATTTTTTTATAATGATAAAAATTTGCGTTTTTTCTAAATCATTTTATTTCTAATACCGTTTAAATGCAAAGTTAAATACAAAAAACACTAATAGTATATAAAATAATTGTTGAAACCTGTACTAAAAGATGTTTATATTTTCAAAGCCAAAAATGATATATCACCTGTTCCATATCTATAACTGACTCGAAAATTGAGTGTTCTAAATGTGCCTCCAAATGTTTTTCCAGAAAGTGTTTGGCTGGAAACTCATAACTACAAATATGGCACACAAAAACTAGGAACGTGTGGGATTGATGAATTTTGTATGCTCCTTCAGTCTGAAATATTTCGTTGCACACTCTGAAACGATAATTAGTTTCAAATACTGTTTTATGCCTGAAGTCTGAAATCATAAAATGAATCCTAATAAACTATTGGGTGAATTTTTGTTTAGAAATTAATAATGTTAGTGATTTAAGTGCAGGCTCAGTTTTACACTTACTCGTCTTACGTCCGGAAATATCACAAAAAAGTGATCATTTTCGGAAACTTTATTTATGAGATAAAACTTGAGGTTTTCAAAAGGTGACTATAAAAGATTGTAGATTGCGAATCTATTCAAAAACCCTTTTTACAATTGTAAAAAATGGAGGAAAAATTTTCTTAGCAGTATCTCATTTTTATACTTTGTTCTTTTAATGGAATTCCGATCTTTGAAAATATCGAAGTTATAAAAGAATAGAATAGAAAGAAAAAATTCATCAAAATTATAAGATCTTTTGTATCTCACCTGCATTGGTTTTCATGAACTTTTGCATGTTGTGAAAGCAAACTTTCTTCCATGTAGTCATTTCCGCAATTACGGCAAAATACTTTTGCATCATTGAAATAGCTCATCTTCCCTGTTTCGGATGCGGACTCTGTATCTGATTCTGATTTCATTTTGGTACTCTCAAACGGATCTTCGGTAGTTCCTTTACAGTGGCATTCAAAATATTTTCCTTAAAAATTGAATTTGTTGTTATTAAATAATTGCAAAATCAATGGATTAGAGAAGATTCTTTTCGAGGAAAAGGAAGATTTAGGATTGAAAATCGTGGTTCCACAGAATTGCCACTTGGATCAACATATTTGAAAAATCTGGCTTATTTTCTATGAAAAATCGCAGATGATTGCGACATAAAAAATTGTCCAAAAATTGTTGTAAAATTCTTGGAAGCATTTGTTATTATTTATAGTATAGTATTAGGCAGTACACTTTGAACAATTGTAAATAGTGAGTTTTTGGTAACTAAACAACATTATTTTTAGTTTAAAAGATGTGTTTTACCTGACCATTTTAAGTCAATTAGTTTAATACGACTTGGGTTCAAAGTCGATTAAGTAAAGAAAAATATTTACCGGAAGTCTCATCCAAAAATCCGCAATTCTTCGAACGAGTTATATTAACTTTGTAATGTCTTCCTTTATCTCTTGTGTCTCGTTTTCTTTTGATCCGCTGCTTGAATGAAAATGTCTTCGGACTGTCTTCAGAAGACGTGCTGCTTGACGATGCTGGATTTGTGGCGTTTTCAATCGTTGTTACAGTAACACTTTCCAGTCGCTTCTTCGCAATTTTATTATTGTTTAACTTATCTTGCTTATTAACAATAAATTGTTTATCAAACTTTGGCTCTGTGATACAAACTTCTCTGCTATCATCGGAGATCTCATCGAATGAAAATTCCATATCAATTGTACTTTTATCATCTCTTATAATAATGTCGTTATTTTGATATAAGATTTGCACACTGTCATTAGAAAAAAGAGTTTCGATTTTACCGGATTGTAGACATGGATTCGATGTAACAAGTTTCCTCCTCTTGCCCAAACTTTTAGGCATAATATTAGATATACTTAATTTAAGAATTTCTCGTGCCAATTGAAATTTAGAATGATCACTAACATAATGCCATATTAATCGCTGATATGTGGACAACTTTTTCCGACAAATTTCACAACGATTTCGACACATTGTTCCTAAAAATCGATGTCTGCTTAAAACGTTCTTAACTTGTAGTAGAGGTTTAGCCCCTTATTTTAAGTGTTAATCGTATTTACTTACTTACCAGCAATATGCACTCACTATTCTTGCGAATAGTTCAAAAGCTCAATGGCAACAAATACTACCACAGATCCTGGGAATTTAAAATAAACATTGAATGTTTACGTCCCTTTTCGTATTTAGTGTTTTTTTCGGCATTCTTCTATAATATTTAGTGGCTTTTGGCATCATTTGGACGATTTACAAGCATGATTTTGAAAATGATTTCACATTTAGAAACTACCCACCGTTGCTTGCCAGGCACTTTTAAGATTGTTGTATGCTCTTATCTTGGTTTTTACTTGGAGCGAAATTATTAGACGTTAGTTCAAGCGAAAGCACAATCAATTGACTAGATTTTGTTCTTTATTTGCCATGTCTTATTAATAGTAATATACAAATGTATTTGAATTCGAAGATTCAAATTCGAGGAAGAAAAGATTATTTATTTAATAATTAAAATGTTCTCATTTAAGTAGAAGCTAAAGAAGTACCTTGCTAATCGTAAAATTATCAAATATTTAGTAAGGAACAAGCTCGAGGTTGAAAGTCGAATTTTAAAAAACCGCACAAATGTATTAAAATCAAGTGACTATCAATAATGAAGAAGGACCACTCCTCTGACACGGAGAATCGTTGGAAATATTAAATAGACCTAAAGTTTTTCTTGTAAATATAAAATTAGTTAATGGTATTAATTTGTTATACTTTAGCAATTGTGAGCGGATAAAATAATTTAATTCCCCTTGCAGTTTTGACTGGAAATAAACAGAACCATAAATAAGAATATCAATGAAATTAAAAAGAAAATTTACCAGTCATGAAGGTAAATTACAAACCTTGTTATTTATAGTTTGCAAATGGTGTTTACAAAATAATGCTATAATACATTTATAGCAGAGATACAGTATATTAGTGTGTCTATGGAAATGTTCTGGCCTATTTCGTTTACACATTTATCAGATAATCTGGCAAAGATGCTGTTAGACATATTGCAAATATATATATTATAGTCAAATTGTTTTTTATTAACTTGATCGGTGTTGATGTGGACCAATGGATAAATTTGTGCTTTATATTTTTGTCTTTGGCTTGGGAGGTAAGAAACATTCGTCATTAAGTCTGCTTGAACTGCGCTATATTTTCAAAATAAAATGCTTTGCTATAACGATTTAAATTATCAGCGTTAAAAAAAATTCCTTCTAATTAACTCTTTATTCATTTTTAACTAACTTATGGTTTATGTGACCGATACATTAATTAATAACATTCTCTGATAAAACGGTTTTTGTGAAGTTCTCTAGAAATATGTAAAATTTGAAAATGTAATGAAAGCAAGGTTTCAAATTAAAAAAAAAGAAATGTGTTCTTTTTAAAGCATTGGACTTAAAAATATTTAATACTTAATAATAGATATCACTTGACCATTAGATTTGATCATCTCAAAACATTGATCTTGGATTTCCAAAATTAAAATAGCGTTGTTTCAACGAGTTATATGCAAATTCAAAAGAGGTTGCATTTTAAATTGTCTTATTATTTATAGGAGTAGCTGAATCCGGGAAAAACACCACTTCGTGGTTACAATGTTATCAATGCGATCCAACTACTCACTCATCTTCGGCTTGTGCTAAACCTCTAAAGAATGTAGGCCTTTTGAATTGCTCCGTACCAAACGGTTACAATTGGAGGATCAGTTGTTTTTCAACATTTCTAAACTACAGCAGTAAGTGACATGCGGTCACTTTTTGAGATAATGAAGAGGATATTTTCAGACGCAACTAATCAGGGATCTTCGTATAATAGAACAGGCATACGCCGCGGCTGTTCGTTTTATCCATCTACTAATGCAAACAACTCGTATTGCAACAGCAACCCTGGTACGAACGTTTCGCGCGTATCTTGTAAAGTTTGTGAGTCTTCAGCGTGTAACACGCATATCTTCAATTCTAGTAAGTTGCAGACTAATATCTGACCGAATTGCGCTATAATATTTTATTGAAAATCATTTCTCTAGAAGGGAATATAACTGGGTCGGGAGGAGATGGAAATGGAGTGGATGAAAGCAAAAAAGGCATTGATGCAGGAGGTGGTAGCGGTGGAGGAGAAACAGCTGGCGTCCCATTTTCAAAATGTTTAGTAGTTATGGCTATTTTAGTTTTGTCTTTTAAAACATTTAACGACTTATAGCTTCACTCTAAACGATTTCCTTATTTATCAGGCAAACTTTCAGAAATTATTGAATTAAAATTAAACTAAACATTTTAAACTTACCTGCTGAATGGAATCTGTGAAGCTTGCAGATTGGAGGTGAATTTTCTTTTTGTTGCAATCTAAGAACATATTTCTACAACTCCTGCGCTTTTCGAGTTGCGAATGAAAATTAGAAAATACTTTTAATCTTTTCTGGCAGATCTTGCACTAAATTTTAAGTTTTACTCGACAACCTTAAAAACAGAAAGAAGTTGCAGTATATTTCTCCATATATTTTTAGTTTTGCATGAACCTTAAAACTCATTAGGTTTCAATCATTTCCAATGGACTTCTGAAAATTTCACTTAAGAAACTTAAAAAATTTGGTTTAATTTCTAAATTCTTATAATCCATTAGTTGTATCTTTTGCTTTTTAAAATTTGGTCTATCTCAGTTTCCCATAAAAACCTGAATCTAACAATACACAATAGTTTACACAACAATACAATACATCATCATAGTTATGTTTTTCTTTTATTGACTGTCTATTTAATATTCTCCTTTTAGAAATAAATTTATTCTATATTTGTCTCAAAGTTTTTCGTTTTTTATTAAGTATCTATTTTCTTAAGTATATCCAGCTTTCAAGTCAATCAAATCAATTTAATTATTGACGGATTTTGTCCTTAATTCTAACGGATTGTAATCAACAGTATTTGAAAGAAATACAATTTAGAGCCGACGGCCAATTCTGACAAACAGAATTATTCGATTGAATTTTGGGATGATCCTCTTTCGAGATATTTAGCTGCAATTTAATATTACTTGATTTATTATGTACACACAAAGAAAGACACTTAGAGCAAAACCACAATTACAAAAAGGAGCCTCTGTTCGGCTACTCGGCCTTAAATAAAGTGGAAAATTTTTGACTGAGAATGTTCTACTTGGAAAATCGTCTATTCGGGTCTTCATAAATGTGAACTTTTTCAACTAATATTAATTTCTCACACATTTATTTTTTCAAAAGGTTGCACACTCTTAGTTCGAACTCGTTTTACTCCCTTATGGTTGCAGCTATCCAATATGAGGCTGGAAGAATCTCTTCCTGGAAGTCTTTATAGCTACTAATTCGGGCTTTTTGGGGGTTTTGAAAATTTTGAAATATCTTAGCATTTAAGGACGTTACGGGCGAAAGAATGAAGGTATGCCAGCAGTTGCCAATTTGCACATTTGCGATTATCAAAAATCGCAAAATTTCCAAAAAGAAAAATTGCAAAATACTTTTTAAGCCAAATGGACTAAATACTTGCTCCTAAAATACATTTTAGTAAAACTTGTAGCAAAAGAGCATGTTTCCTGAAAAAACCAGCGCTTGAGATCTTTGAAAAAAAAAATCTTTTAAACAGTGAATGTGTCGAGAACGTCCTATTCTAGCAATAAAGTAATCGAGGTAAAAATTCAAAGTATTTTGTTCGGGAAATCGTCTTTTCGGCCTTCAAATCATGATAACTTCCAAGTTTTTCAACCGATTGCAATTCTCCGATATACAGGTTTTATAGAAAATCGTACGTTTTTCAACAAATTTCCAAATTGGCCCGATATTAATAGTTAAACAGAAATTTTCTAGATACATAAAGCTATTTTAAAAAATGCAACCTTAAATCGACAAAGAAAACATTGATAACATTTGTCTTGAAAAATCGGCTTTTTGACCTCCAAACTCTTATGACTTTCAAGTTTGTAAAATATGATTTTTAGACAAAATCACTCGCTTTAGAACGAATTTTCAATGATCCAAATCGGACCCGTGTTAAGAATTACTTATTTATCCATTCGGAAGAAGTTACGCAGTGCGTTGAACTACTCCAATTTCCAGAAGTATATCTTCAATGAATAATTTCTTGATTGTTATACCTGCTGGGCTTTTTAAGTACGAAACTTAATTGTTTACGTTGATATAGTTGAAATTGAAATATTTTTAATCTCAGTTGATACACAAAATGTTGCTTTCGGTCTTTCATCAAAGATGACTTGGTTATTTTATTACCATTTAACTTTTTGAAGTTTTCACATTAGTGATTTTCGACTTATTTTTGTCACAGTCTAGTATTGGCGGTCGGTAAATTAATTTTAGGTCACCTTATACTAATTACTTTTTCATCAGTTATTTTAAGGAATACATATTAAGAGCTCAGAACTAGAGCTCAACTCTGAGCTTCATAAAATGATTTTAAGACAAAGCGCTAAGGTGAAGGAGAT